GCGGCCCTCCAGCGACTTCTGCTTCCACTCGCTGATGAGCTGCTTGGAGCGCGAGGCGTCGAGCGGCACGTGGATGGTCATGTGGCGGCGCGCGGGGTCGTCGAGCGAGGGCGTGCTGACGCGCGGCAGCGTGTTGCTGAAGGTCACCATGCTCTCCTTGCCCATGGGGCTCCGCGGCGCCAGCAGGTCCACGTCCACGCTGGCGCGCTTCAGGCTGCCCAGCGAGCTCTTGTCGCGAGCCACCGGCCGCGGCGCCCCCTCCAGCCGCCCAGGAGGGCCCAGTTCGTCCGTGCTCGCGGACTTGTGCTGCTGGTACACCGAGTCGTGCCCGCGCTGCGTCAGGGCGCGCAGCGCGTCCTTGGCCGGGGGTGGCGCCGCCGCGGCCGGCCTCTCCGCAGGCGGGGCCTGGAAGTTCCCTACGGCGTGGCAGGCCTGGGGAGGACGCGTGGGCGTGAGGGGGGTCCCACGCCTGGTAGGAGGGAGGGTTGGGGGCGGGGCCAAGGCCTTGGGGGGCGTTGGCTGGCCCCACAGGGACGCTGCGTGCTGCCAAGTGCAAAGCTCTGGGGCGCCGCTGGGCCCCTCCCTCGGGGCAGGTCATCACGCCCCCTCCCCCCACCAGCGCGGCCTCCACTCGCGGGCCCTTAGCTCACCAGGTAGGCGGCAATGCCCGCGCCGATGAGGAAGCCGGCGTAGACATCCACGGGGTGGCTGCGGTACTGCGTGATCTGGGTCAGACCGCACACGCCCGCCCCAATGGCAAAGGCGAACACCAGGATCGGCTTGAGCAGCTTCGTGGTGTCCGAGATGACCGAGTTGAAGTACATCTGCAGGGGCGGGGGCGGGGGTCAGCGCAGCGGCCCCACCCGGGAGGGGACGGGGCGCGGGGGCGGCTCAGGGGGCGGGCTCACCGACACGTAGACGGCTGCGAAGGCGGACAGCGTGGCGTGTTGCGAAGGGAACGTCTTCCTGCGACAGGAGGCGCCACGTGAGCCCAGGCCCGGCTGGGTCACGCGGGCTGCGGGGTGAGCGCGTGCCACCCAGGCCCGCCGCACCTGGGCACAGGGCACCGCGCAGGGGGCCACGGACGGGCACTCACCGCGCCGAGAGGATGGCGTGCGTGTCGGCGCCGGCGCAGATGTCCTGCGTGATGTAGGGGTTGGCCTCGCACGTCGTCCCCAGGAGGGTGTAGTTGGGTTTGCAGACGGTCAGGAAGAAGGGCGCGTGGTAGCCTGTGGCCAGCTGAATGACGTCGGTCACCAGGGCCGTGGCGCACAGGCCAAACACGTGGACACCTGCGGGTTGGGGGAAGGTGAGAGGCCTGCCGGAGCACCCCAGCCGCGCGCCAACGCCCTGGGACGCAGGACTCACCCATCCAGGTGATCAGCCTGGGCTGGACAGGCCAGTGCTTCCTGGGTCCCCAAGCCCAGCCTCAAGGTGGGCAGAGCCACCAACAGCTCCCCCCTCTGCACACAGGCCATCGGGTGGGTGCTGTACTTCATCTCACAGACATGGACCAAAAATTGCATGTCCACTTTATTATGCTGAGTGACCCCTGGCCCTCGTGGCTCCCCATGCTGCCTCCCCACCCACCCTAGCCCCCACCAGGTCACTCCTTAAACCTGCGCGCCGCCTGCATCTTGCGGTAGTAGCTCTCAGCCTCTGTCTCCATGCTTGGCGCGTCGCGTTCACCCAGCGACAGGCTGCCGATCTTTCGCCGCAGCGTGGACTCGCGGCTGCCCTGGCCCAGAGCCCCGTCAGCTGCGCCCAGTGGGGGCAGACCCTCGCCGGTGGCCAGGTTGACCGTGGCCACGGCCCCAAAGCGCGGCTCCTCCTGGTCCACATCGCTAATGGACGAGCCAGGGGACAGGCCAGGTGGCCGGGGCCCACCGCGGAAGCCCCGGGACAGGTCGCCCAGCTCGTAGGCGCCGTCGCCGTCGGGCCCCTTGGCCCCACCGCCTGCTACCTTCCACTCCCAGGGCCCGTTCCCGGCTGACAGGTGCACCACCGGGTGGTGCGGGGCATGCGCATCGATGGTGACCACGCTGGCCGAGTCCCGGTCCGACGGTGACCGGTACTGCGACGAGTCGGAGCTGGCGCTGGACGATGAGCCTGTCTCGGCCGCCTTGGTGGCCGCGCCCGCGCCGCCCGGTGCCTTGGACATGGCAATGACCTGCAGCAGCCGCGGTGGGTTGGCCACGCGGGGCTGCGCGGCCGCTGCCGGCCCGGTCTTCTCGGCCATCATGAGCCACTTGGCACGCACGGCGGCGCTACTCTTGGGGGACAGACCGGCCCCCACCTGAGTCCCCTCCTCGGGGATGTGCACCAGCGGCTGTGGGGCGGCGCGCGGCGGGAGGA